TACTCATTTATTCCATGACCATAAATTTTCTTATTAATAGTCAAACTTAAAAACTTTGTAAACGAGTAATACAATCAATTTCAAGAAATTTAACTCAAGAATATTATAATATATAAATTATAGGTATATAAAATTTATGTACCTTCACTTGTGGTTAATTGCTTTAACAAAATCATGAAATTTAATTTCCAAAATGTGTTGTATAACATATATCATGTGCATGAAAAATTCACAAAATGATTTCAAAACAAAACATAAAAAGTATATCATATCAATAATTTCTTTGCCTTTAACTATATATTGTTAACCTCCACATATTGATACGTATTTTATGTGTTGCACTTAATATGTATTTTAATCTAAATAGAACAAATTAATATACATATTTATTATGTAAACAATTATTCCGATGATATATAAAATTAGACCACCTAATAAATATTCTTTATGCACATACAATCATTAAATGAGATTATATTAATAGAGATTTTTCATAGAAGGTTTAATATATATTGTGTATAAATAACAACATACAATTAACATCAAAAGGTTCAAAAACTCCCAATACTCAATTGTTGTAAATTACCTTAAGTGTTGATACCCTCACCTTGCGTCAGACTTGCGCAGTAACTTATAATTGGTTTTTCATCGACACCTTATATCTGTTATGAAAAACAAGTTCGTGTTGAACTTCTGCACCATTATGCAATTTCTTAAATAGTAAAATAACAATAATAGTTCCTCAACTTCTATTTGCATTTATTTTTATTTTTATTTTATTTTTTTTAAGTTAGTTGGATTCCTTAATAGATTGGGATGCTCAATCCCAGTCAACTCTTTGCCTTACTCTTGATTGGGATTCCAAATCCCAAATCATTTTTTTTTATTTTCTTTTAAATTAGTTGTCTCAAACAAAATAACAAGATGTTCAACAACAAAAGAATATAATAGTAGTCATTTATGAAGGTTATTTTGAACATTTGCGAAAGATGGAGGGATTAAATAGTAGTCACTGTTGAACTCAATGTCCACCTATTATTTTGTACTTTTTCGGTACATCCTATTATTTTGTACTTTTACTAAACGTCATAGGGACAAATTTGCACTAAACAAAACTACAAAAGGAGCAAATAGTAGTTTTCCCATTAATCTTCCCTATCATAATAACTTTTCTTAATTTTCACCTTTTGTGTTTTATCATGTTGTTGGACAAAACTTAAATGGGTTCAATTGCAGATTTATAATCTACAAAAGCCCCAAAATTAGTTCTTAATTAAACGCATACATAACCTAATTAGAAAACCAAAATTGGATTTGCTTAAGTTATAAATTATATCTTAACTTTTCTATCTTTGCAGAATCATGTCCAAGAACAAAATTTTTATTTAATCCTTTAAGCATGGATTAAACAATCACAACAACAAATTTTGAAACCATCTAAACTCAATTTCAACCATCAGTGAAAATAAATTTTAAACCTCAATTACTTACTAATTAAATTTGAAGACTCTAGTCACAATTTAAAACAAAGTTAACTTGACAGGTTTGAATCAAAATTCCAATAATATTGTCAAAACCCACAACAATGAAACCAACTATTTCAATATTCTAAATCCATGTATAACCTACTCTGATACTAATACCACATGTTAGAATTTTAAGAATCAACATACATAGGATTTAGGATACTAAAATCTAATAAAATAAATAAATTACATATTTGAATCTCCATAATTAATATGTTACTTAAGAATTTTTAAGGATTTTTAAGGATCATTATAATTTAGATCTCATGATAAAATTTACAAAACAAATATAGTTAACATTTGGGATTTAGGCCTTCTTCTCTGTATTCCACTTCTTTATAGTGATAACCAATAGGTTATATTACTCCCTAACTCTATTATTTATAGAGGTAGCGTTTTTTGAATGAAGAGTGGACCTAACATTATAATAATCTTTCAAGCACCCCCATCAAGTAATGCATCTCTAATTCCAAGCCCTACACTTATTTATATCATATCATAAAAAATTGAGATAAAACTTATGCTCACTTGGATCATATAACTTTATTGAATTTTATTGATTTTCCATTCGATATAATTTTAAAATCAAATACAATTAGTGCAAGTCCACATAAAATTTCCACCATAGAATTCTTCCAAGAAAAATCTACAAAAATGATATAAGACAAAATTCACACTCATATTTCTTCATTTCATTCCATGGAATACTCTTGTTAAAATGGTGAACATTGTACC